TCCGAAAATGAAATCTTACGGAATGATAGTACTGGAGTAGTTTACATGCTTTACATATGTACGTTAAGGAGATGAATTGGTAATATTCCATTAACCGCCATAGAATGAACACTCCAAGCCGACACTGAAGCCGCTTGCTTGAGAGTAAATCGTCACTAAGCGATCAAGAAAGAACCATTTAAGAGAATGAATGAATCGGTCTTTCAAAATTTTAAGAGAGAAATATAGGGGACAATAACATAAAACCAAAAATGTTAAATGTTCAATTCCCATAATCTACTACATAACTACATTAAGTCATAAAGTTGAAATTTGTACTAACAATACCATTTTTGAAAGATACTATTCTCAAACTTAAAGTAAGCGTTTTTAAAATAATTTTTGTTAACAAATGTACTTGTGAATAATTTATAACTTTAAGAGAGAAAAAAAATAAAAACAGATTACAAGATTAAATTAAGGTTACAACAGTATTAAGTAGTAACTACTTTACATAATTTACGACTAGTGAAAATCTCACAACAACAAAACATAAACAACTACTTGTACAACTTGTTGTCAAGAGGTGAAAAGGAGGAAATCCAAAAGGCTCTAAAGAAATTGTTTTTTTATACAAAACCAAAGAAAAATAGGTAAGTCTAGTTTTTTATACACAAACATTCTTACTTATAAAATCTTGTCTTCTAAAAAAAACTGAAATATTAAAATCCCCAAAGAATGACAATGACAATTTATTTACTTCCCTTGAAAAGCTAAGAAAATTCAACACAAACTACAAGAGTAAACTCCATAAATAACAACTGGTAAATTCGAGCGAAAAGAATTTGTCACTTTTTAAGCACCTTTTAAAAAGGAGTTCTAAAATCCCATAGAAGCAAATACAAATAACACACATCCTTACTGCAGTCGTTTATAATATAGACTTTTAGAATTCCTTGGCTTGTTGTCGTCTTATTGAGATGACTTTCTTTTCTTCTTCTGTCAGCTCTTAAAAAGACTAAAATATTTGTTTATACTGTTTTGTTGCAAGCAAATGCTATCTTCTACTTAATTTGCATTTTAATTTAATTTTTTTTTCGTGTGGTTGTTTTTTCTTGGTTACTAGTGACATTTTTTTTTTATTCGTTGTTCAGTAACAGCAACAAATGTCTGTCTGCTGCGTTGAATAAAAATGCAACTTTGTTGTTTTGTGGCATATTAAAAAAAGGCTGGCAGACGCCTTATGTTGCATATAGCAAATTGTATGTAAGTATTGTCTGTCTGTAGGAATATGTTGCTACTGTCATGAGTTTTTGGTTTTATTTGTTTTTGTATTTTACTTGTAAAAAAAAGAGAAATGCTGAAAAGTTCAAGTTGTTCAGACACAAGGTCGTCTGTTTACACAATTTTACAATTGAAAATGTTTATGTATTAAATGTCATTGGAAATTTTAATAATCTTATTAATATTATATTTTACTAAAAATTTTTAAAAAATTTAATTTAGTTGAGGAAGTCAAAATATAAAAATAGTATCAGGACCATGTAACGAACTATTTTATAGATAATTTTCAGGTAGTGACGTAAAAATATAATAAGCATCAAAAGATATAATCGACACTTTTACGCGAATTGCAGCAACTAATTAAAACTCCATTCACGTTTCTTGCATTTTATGTTAGTTATTTACAGAAAATTAAAATGGAGACACCATAGAGAATAGGTGCTGGGTGCTATGTAAGAGAACCATATACACGAAATGGGGCTTTAGTCCCACGATTTATAAAAGCGTGATTAAACAAATTCTAACTCATGCTTCAATAACACAGGCCAACAAATTTTTAACCCAGTGACCAAAGTATACTCTTCTAAAGCATCTGGCATCAGAATTTCTCCTTCACATCTGCTGCAGTTTCTTAGATATAATCCGTTTACGTTGACAGACGGACAGACATCTTTAAGTTGAATCACAAAATGAGTTGAAGTCGATTGGAACATCCTTAGTTAGATGTGGATCCATTATTTTTGTTCGTTATAAACAATATTTATAAAGCATAATACCCACCGCTCTATAGTAGTGTGGGGTATAAGTACCATGAATATATTACAGACCATGAGGTTTCAAGATTAAGGTTTAGAAGATATCTCGAAGAATAAAGAAGAAATGTTTAGGTGACATACAACATTTTATAAATAAAGTTATCATGACGCCCAAAAAGTACCAAAAAATTGCGTTTTTTTCAAATTTCAGGACACGATATCTTAAATCCCAGATGTGATGGAAAATCTGAGGTCATATTCGGATTTAGCAGGCTCAATCCTTTAGGAATGTCTAAGATAGTCTCAGGTTTTCGACTTTTTTTAAAATTTTGTCGGCCTGTGTAATCTAGTGGACTTCTTTGGACATAATATGTAATATAAAACCATTGGATATATGTGGGACCATGAGCACTACGTCAACCAACGTTGCTGTATATTCGCTATTGAAACATATATAAGTAATGAGGCGGTACTTATAGCAAAACGTCTTTTAACTTTAGGTGAATAGACCAAACACGGTTGTAAGACACGTCATCAATGTATACTAAACACATTCAAACACAAACATCAGATATTTTCGATCGCTATCAAACACAGAATTTGTCTGAAACTTTGAGGCACTGATCCCAGATAGAATATTATTGTCATTGCTGCACTGGTGGTTCTAAACTGGGTTCAAAACGGATTGGATTTTACAAAGAAATAGAAGTACACTACCGTCTACATAATCATAACACTACCGACCAGATAGAAGCACGTGCAATGGAGGAATGTGTAAACTAGATTAGAATAAGGGGCCAACAGTGGTTAACATATTTATCAACAGCAGGAAGTCAATTAGGGCGATATCAGGTGATAAAGTTAAATTAAAGATCATATAGGACTGCAAGAGAGCATTAACTGTATATAAAGAAACGTTGGATAGAACCATAAAGATCCTCTAAGGTAAATCTAACCAGAAGATGAAAATAAGCCTCCTTAGAAGTCTGAGGTTAGTATGATGGTACGAATTCCGAGTTTACAAATTCAACCACAACTATCGTAACTACACAGAGGGAAATGGAAATATACACGCCTGGTACCAAGTTTACACCAAAGAGTTTATAATTTTTCAATAACAACCATTGTTAAAGTTTACACATACGTACGACAACGCAAATTTTATACACATCAGTTTTCTAAATGTTAACAAACGTGGTAAGCTCACTATTGGCAAAGGATTGTTTGTCAATAGTGAGCTTACCACGTTTGTTAACATTTAGACAACGGATGTGTATAAAATTTAGATTTCGACAACGAATTGTTCCAATGTTGTCAGCATTACATAGTGCTGTCGTACGTATGTATATACTTTGACAACGGATGGTATAGAAAAATTATAAACAGTTTGGTGTCAATTTGGTACCAGGTGTGTATATTTATTTTTCCCTCCGTGTAGACGAGCGGATTTGGACGATTCTAGATCATGCGGAGAGGACATTAAAACCCTGTAACTCATTATTTGTTCCAAATATCTTGTACATGATGTTATAGACCACGAACATTGATAGGAAAATTTTGATGAACTATATCCAAGAAACTGTAAAATAAAAACGGAACACAGCAGTATTCAAGATTTCCATAACTTTGCCAATTTAGTAAAATAAATATATATTGATATTAAAGCATCTGTTTTATTTTTTTTTTTTAATAATTAAACACATCTCATTATGACTCAACTCATCTTTAAATTGAGAAAATTTATAATATCTTAAAATATGTTCATCTTAATTATACACACAACAAAATTTTAATTACACAAAACAAACATTTGTCTACAGACGACACAGGGCCAAAGCCAACAAAAAATTCTTATGCACTAAGAAAAATTAATGCATAAATTAACCTTCTTATAAGAAGACAAATCAAACAGTGATGCAAACAACAACAAACTTTTCGACAGGAGATAAAACTCTTTAAACTTTTTTTTGCATGAAGACAAAAGAAAAATAAAAATCGAACAAATAAAAATGATAAAAAAAACTTTAGCGTTTGACAGGCTTTTCAACGCACAAAACAAACAAGTGACTTAAGACTTCTATCACAAAAAAATACACAAAAAAACGCATTCAAATGTTTTCAAAACGGAAGTGGAAATGTGTGTTTCATCCAGTTCTATGTAGTACAAGTTGCTTGATAAAGTTCTTAAGTTAATTATAAAATTGTAAATGGCAACCACACACAACAAGAACAACAGCAACGAATTTAAAACAAACAGATTTTTTTATTTCTTTCTTAAGGACTTTTTGTTTTTATAAGAAGGGGTTGTTATCCTTGTTATTTGTATTTAGTACTTAGGAGCGAAGTTATTTCCGTTTATTTGCATTAAAAAATAGCAGGAGTTCTTGATGTTTTATTTTGTATTAAAAAAAAAAAATAATAAACATAAACAAACCTTAAGTCTTACAAATTGAATTAGCATTCATTAAAAGCTCAAGCGAATTTATCATTCATAAAAGGATTTGAAAATGTAAATAACTTACAAATACCTGTAAATATGTAAGTTATAATGAAGAGCGTATATTTATATTTCGTTATTACTCAGTGTTAGTGTTTGGGGGGAGTGTGAGAAATTTTAATATTGGGTATAATGATGAGGAGAAAAGAAAATAAAAATTAACATAGGGAGTTTTAGTTTTATTTCAAGGGTTTTTATTATTCCGTGTTCTTTACCTCTTTTCGATGGGGTTTTCTTTAATACTAAACTTAGATTTACAATAATTCAAAGTAATAAGCTCAATAATAAAAATTAATAGAGAGCGAAAGAGTATACTTTCCAATATGGAAAGTGCACTTAAAAATACCGTCGAGGGCATAAATATAAGGCAGGATAAAATATATATGTTTCAGTTAAACTTAAACATCCCGCCCCCCTTGCAGGATTGCAAATTCATAAAAATTATAAAATAATATTACATTTTCAATAATTCATTATTCGTAGTATATATGTATAAAAACATAGGTTTATTTAGGTGTGACGTTGATAACAATTGTAGGACCAGATGTAGACGTGCCCAGTGCGGATCCATTAGTGTTTAAGGTGTAGCGGTTTTGCATTTGTAAGGAACGTTGCCGGTTATATTGTTGTTGTCGTTTACGATTTCGTTGAAGTTTGTTGTTTCGTCTGTGCCGGCGACAGTTTGCTCTGGAAGTATGTAGGAGCGTATGATGTTCAGAAAGGCATTCTCGACATCTATCACGACAACGGCAATCCTTTACAAAATGCGAATGTGCAAGGCAATTGATACAGTATCGGTACTTGCGAACAACATTCCAACGCTCTCGCACCGATAGTCGCTTAAACCTAAGGCACTTCCTTAAGGGATGATCCATGTTGCAATAGCGACAATCCTTAAGTCTCCTGGAACGGACAACTAGAGCGTTTTCTCTTTGGCTAGCAGGGACATCATTGCTGGAGTTACGGTTGATCCTTAAACGCCGGGGCATAGTAGACATGATTGCTGGAAAAAGTAGTGTAATTAGATTATTGCTGTTCAAATGGGGGTAATAAAACTAGTTTAACAATTGGACGTGTTATTAAGCCATTAGATGTACGCACTTCGCAAACTCTAACCTTTAAGTCAGGTCCACAAATGACCTTTTCTATACGCCCTAGGCGCCACTGATTTGGAGGCAAGTTATCACGCCTAACTACAACCAAATCATTAACAGCGAAATCTCTTTGAGGGTACTGCCATTTAATACGCTTATGTAGCTCCTTTAAGTACTCTTCTTTCCATCTAAGCGCAAAATGGTGGTGCAGAACCTTAAGTTTTTGCCATCGATTTATATAATTTAGGCATTGTTGGGAGGAATCAGGTTCAGCGGGTGCTAAAAGTGGAGCTCCAATAAGAAAATGGCCAGGAGTTAGAGCGTTAATATCTGAAGGATTTTCAGTCATTGGACTAAGGGGGCGTGAATTTAAACAGGCTTCGATTCGAATAAGCATTGTAGAAAATTCTTCGTACGTAAAAGCCTGGGCGTGAGTTACTTTTTTAAGGTGGGTCTTAAAGCTCTTTACGCCTGCTTCCCACAATCCACCCATATGTGGAGCACCAGGAGGAATGAATCGCCAATCGATGGATTGAAAAACAAATTGACTTAAGAGACCCTGTCGAACAAGAGATAGAAAATTATTTCTGTCTCGATCAAGAATATTGGCGGCTCCAACAAAGGCAGTACCATTATCGGAAAACATCACATGCGGGCAACCTCTACGAGAGAAAAACCGAGAGAAAGCTGCCATAAAAGCAGAGGTAGATATTTCACTGGTAAGTTCTAAGTGTATTGCTTTTGTTGAAAAGCAGACAAAGACAAGAACGTAGCCTTTTGTTAACTTACAACCGCGACCAGCATAAGACTTGAGGTCAAAAGGTCCGGCAAAGTCGACACCAGTGTTTGTAAATGGGCGTGAGAGGGTTGTTCGTTCAGGTGGGAGCATACCCATGATTTGTTTACTTCGTATATGCCTTTGCAGTATACAGTCTTTACAATTGCGAACAACAAACTTCGTTAAGTTTTTAAGCTTCGGTACCCAGAATTCAACACGCATTAGCCGCAATAAAACAGAGTTTTCTCCGTGAATGGAAGATTTATGAATCAATTCAAGATATAACCGGGTAAATTTACCATTGTAAGGCAATATTTTGGGGAATTTTTCATCGTATGTAAGTGTCGGGGATTGAGAAAGTCGACCATTTACTCTCATTGTTCCTTCAGGGTCGATAAAAGGGTTTAAAGCTAGAAGATCGCTTTTTCTAGACACTGGCAAACCTCGAGCTAAAACTTTGTACTCTGGAAAATGAAGTTTTTGACACATTATGACTAATCGTTGTTTCACATGTTTCATCTCAGATTGAATCAGGTCGTTTGACTCATAATGGAAATTGTGAGAAGGGGAGATTTTGTGGAAGAAACGAAATACATAACAAAGAACTCGCATCGCCCTTGAGAGGTCGGAAAACCTATTCAATATGTCACAAGCAGCCACCTGATTAGCATGAACTTTAATTGGTCTCATTTCCTCTTGGGTTTCTAAATCGGGGGTTGTAGATGGCCATTTTGAATGTTGCATTTGAAGCCACGAGGGCCCATGCCACCACAAAGAATTCTGAATTAAATCCCTAGCTGTGATACCACGAGACGCTAGATCAGCTGGATTATCCTTCGAATCAACGTGAAACCATACATTTTTTCCTACTTTATCAATTATAGAAGAGACTCTATTTGCCACAAATGTCTTCCAGTGACTCGGGGGTTTTTGCAGCCATGATAAAACTATAGTGGAGTCAGTCCACATATAGACACGATTACTTCCAATATCCAATTGAGAAAGTCGACCATTTACTCTCATTGTTCCTTCAGGGTCGATAAAAGGGTTTAAAGCTAGAAGATCGCTTTTTCTAGACACTGGCAAACCTCGAGCTAAAACTTTGTACTCTGGAAAATGAAGTTTTTGACACATTATGACTAATCGTTGTTTCACATGTTTCATCTCAGATTGAATCAGGTCGTTTGACTCATAATGGAAATTGTGAGAAGGGGAGATTTTGTGGAAGAAACGAAATACATAACAAAGAACTCGCATCGCCCTTGAGAGGTCGGAAAACCTATTCAATATGTCACAAGCAGCCACCTGATTAGCATGAACTTTAATTGGTCTCATTTCCTCTTGGGTTTCTAAATCGGGGGTTGTAGATGGCCATTTTGAATGTTGCATTTGAAGCCACGAGGGCCCATGCCACCACAAAGAATTCTGAATTAAATCCCTAGCTGTGATACCACGAGACGCTAGATCAGCTGGATTATCCTTCGAATCAACGTGAAACCATACATTTTTTCCTACTTTATCAATTATAGAAGAGACTCTATTTGCCACAAATGTCTTCCAGTGACTCGGGGGTTTTTGCAGCCATGATAAAACTATAGTGGAGTCAGTCCACATATAGACACGATTACTTCCAATATCCAATTGCGATCGTATTGATTGGAACATTCTTGCCATTAATTCGGCCCCACAAAGTTCTTTTCGGGGAAGTGTTACGAACTTAACTGGTGCAACCTTTGTCTTGGCTGCCAAAAGATGCGTGTAAATCTGGCCCTTTGGACTTTCTGTCCGAAGGTACAAAGCAGCAGCGTACGCTACTTCTGATGCGTCACAAAAACCGTGTAATTCAATAGAAAAAAGTGGATCGAAGTCGATATAACGGGGAATTTGTATATGTTTTAAGTTCGAATAATCCTCTAGAAATGCTAGCCACTGTTTTAAAGTTGATGGCGCAATCACTTCGTCCCATCCAGTCTCATCCTTCCATATTTGTTGCATTATTATTTTTGCAACTATAATCTTAGGGGCAAGCCAACCGGCGGGATCAAAAAGTTTCGCAATTTGGGACAGAACAACTCTTTTAGTGAAACTATTATCCGCAGAAAATTGAAAGGGTTCGAAGTAAAAGCAATCATTTCCTGCATTCCATCTCAGACCTAATGTTTTTGATGTACAAGAATCGGATAAGTTTAAAAAATTAGAATCTAGAAGATGTTCGGGTTGTACATCTTGTAAGAGGACTTTGTGGTTAGCAGTCCACTTTCTAAGTGAAAAACCGGCAGTATTTAGAACTTGAGTAAGATCTTTGCGAGCTTGGAGAGCGGTGCTCAAATCATGAGACCCAAATAGAACATCATCTACGTACATATAATTTCTCAAAATGTCGGAAACCATAGGGAAATCAGCCTCACATTGTTTAGCTAGCTCCAGCAGAGTTCTTATAGCCAAATATGGGGCACAATTGACGCCAAAAGTCACTGTGAGCATTTCAAAATCACTTAACTGATCATCGGGTGACTGTCGAAATATAATGCGCTGAAATGGGGTTTGAGTCTTGTCGATAAGAATCTGTCGATACATTTTCTCGATATCGGCGTTAAAGACATATCGGAATAGGCGCCATCTAAGAACGAGAATCGTTAGATCAGCCTGTAGAACAGGACCAGCGTATAAAATGTCGTTAAGACTTACGCCACTAGATGAGGGATTTGACGCGTTAAAGACAACTCGAAGTTTAGTTGTTGTACTATCTGGTTTTATTACCGCATGGTGGGGGAGATAGTACGAAGTGTTAGGGTTTGCCGATAAGTCAGGATGTACTTTTACCATGTGGTGTAAGGTTAGATATTCAGAAATAACCTTGTCATAATTGTATTTTGTGGCGGATTGTTTTACCATACGAGCTTCATTACGGAGATATTGTGCAATAGCTGAATCACGAGAGTTGCCTAGATTTTGTTCAACTGGAAATTCCTTTTTAAACGGAAGAGAAACTACAAATCTACCCTCTTGATTCCTATAAGTTGTTCTTTTGTATACATTTTCACAATACATATCTTCATCTGACATAAGTCTCGCCGTTTGAACTTCCTCAAGTTCCCAAAAACGTGTCAATTGAAGATTGAGATCAACTTCGTTGTAAAAGGAAGAAACTGTTCGACAGGGAGCTGGAGAACCAATCTGTCCAGTCACAACCCATCCAAAAACTGTTTTTTGTGCTACCAGATTGTGATCATTGTCCCATTTAACTCCCTCTCTAAGCACCTGTGGGTATATATCACCACCTAAAAGTAAATCAACCTGATTACCTTTTCGAAGGCTAGAGTCTGCTAATTGCAAACCGTCAAATCTAGTTTCAAGTGATGAGAGAATAGAGTGATATGGTAATTCACCAGTAAGTTTACGAACCACAAACGCATTAACCTTTATTGAGAAAAACTTATCGATCGTAGAACCGATTAAAATTGTACAAACTTGACTGGATGTCGCAGTTATGGCTTCGTTTAGACCAGTGACTTGTGTTCCAGAGAATCTATACGGCAACGAGAGTCTTCTTTTAAGAGAAGAGGAAACAAAGGATGCTTCTGAGGCAGGATCTATAAGAGCACGAACTGTTAATCTAACATCCCCAACACACACATCGACTAAAGCGGTTCCAAGAAGAATAAACTTATCTTGAGTGGACTGTAAACGAGTTGAAAAGGTTTGGCGATTTTGGGCTGCCGCAGCAGTAGAGGTGGATGGCGGATCAACAGGGTTAGTTAGAGTAGGAGGATTCGCCTCATCTTGAGTGTTATGACCACTATCTTGGGGTTGATTATTCTTTGATAAGATCAATGTGCGGTGAAGTAGGGTGTGGTGTTTCTGCTTGCAATAAAGACAGACAAATTTGCTTAAACATTTCCTATAGTCGTGTGAACAGGCTAAGCAATTGAAGCAACGTTTCTGATTTCTGACTAAAGATGAACGGTCTTCGACAGACATTTTTAAGAACGTTGGACATTTTTGAAGAGAGTGTAAATCGGAACAAAGGCAACATTTAGTCGGTTTATTAAGTATTAAACTTCTTAACATCACGAGAAGTGTGCGATTTTGGAGGAGAATTATTCTTAACTGTAGTAGAATGAGGTTTGGAAGATCTAATATCCGCAAAGAACTCTAAAGTCTGATATCTAGAGGTTAGGAATTCGTTCATTTGCTTCCAAGTTGGTAGTCCATTAGTGGATCTGTGGTGTTGTTTCCATAAATCTAGTGTAACATCTGGAAGGCAAGTGGAACACAGATATACAAAAATTACATCCCATTTATCCGTTTCTATATCGAGCATTGAAAGGTTGGTTATACAATCATTGATTGTACGTTGGAGGGTGTTTATACCGTTTCCCGATTCCTTTTGAATGGGAGCTAAACTAAAAAGAAGCTTTAATTGGGCATTTAGAAGAACTTCCTTGTTTTCGTATCTCTCAACAAGATTGTTCCATGCCATTTCAAAACCTGCATTGGTCAGTGGGCATGATTTTACAATATCACGAGCTTCGTTTTGAGTCTTCTTAAGAAGATGGTAAAGTTTCTCAACTGGGGATAAACGGGGGTTATTTCTATACAGGGCAGAGAACATGTCTCTGAAAGAAGGCCAAGAGACGTAATCACCATAGAAGACGTCTGTATCGCAGGGTGGTAACGAGATGTTTGGAGTTTGTAGATTTCGAAACTCTATGTTATCTACAATGGTGGTGGCCTTATTACTTATTTGATCAAGGAGCTCATTTGCCCTTGAAAGACATTTGAGGTGTGCATCATAGGCAACAAAAAATTTGTTCTGAACAGTCGTTAAAGACACATCAGAATTATCAGATCCAAGCTGACTTAAAAGTGAATCGTAAACTGTCCTAAGAGAGGACCACAAGTGAGTTATTTCATCCTTTTGAATCTCTAAGGTATGTATGGTGTGGTCATCCTGAGGAATTGAAGAAAAATAAGCATAAAACTGAACCACACGGTCCGATGCTCTAATAAATGCATTTAAATCTGACATGGTCAATAAAGTGTCACTAGGTGCAGAGAAAATATGCTGTTCCTTTGAATGTGTATATACCGATAGTAGAGTGCAAAATGCAAAAGTTTCACGCCACTAAACTTTTTTCAAAGTTTAATAATTCTAAAGCAAAGTATGTACTATCCCAAGCTATGCACAAATCATAAACTTTTATTTTAATTATATAAAAATTGAGAAATTTAGAAACACGGATGTTTAAAGTATGGCAGAGATATTTCTAAATATGTATATAAAATCTGTACGTTTATAAACTATTTTTAATAGTTTTACTCTTTCTTACGATTTCCTTAAGTTTTCTGTTTTTGCACAATTGTAAAGTAAACTTTTCAAAATAAAATATTTTCCTCCTTTACTAGTTTTGGCTTGAATATTTATATGTTTTTTACGAGTAAAAGTAGTAAAAATAAAATTGGTTCTATATTGATTTGCTAGGAAAAATTGTCATAGTTTGTTTTTAATTTTAATATAATGGGAATAAAAATTATTTGAATTTCGTTCGTTTTCTTCTACTCTAATTAGAATATCCAAAACTATTCTGTGAATAATGGATGCAAATCTGAATTAATTTGAAATTTCACGTAGATGAGAAAAATTATAAACAATTTTTTCAAAACATTCTCTTTCCTTTACAGAATTATGCGTTGGGTTATTCAAACCCATATGTACAACTAAAGAACTGAGCAAATATACAATGTTCTAAAGTTTAGAATCTAAACAAAGAATGAAATTAAATAAAAACATGAGATTTTACAAATTAACAAATTTTCTCTTTTATCATAAAAAAAAATATGTGGATAAGAATCAACCAAATAAAAAGTATATTTCACAAACGATTGTCTCTAAATTTGTATATAGAAGGAAATATATACAAATATATTATTGTTCTCTTTTTCTTTAACATGCAAAATATGATATTGTAAAATTGTTCTAACAAGTATGGAATATTAAGAAATGCAAAAGAAAAAAACTAAGAGAAAAGTGCAATAATGTTTGTGTTGTTGCTCTTGAGTGATTTATTAAAATGTTGAGTATCACAGTTTACGTTACTTTCTCTCTTTTAGAATAATATCACTCTTTTAAATTTGTTGCGATGAACTATGAGTAGAATAATTTGTTGTATGACACTTTTACGTTTTAATTCCCTCTTGGTTCTATCTTAAAGTTTAGCAACTTTCAAAACAAATATTGCAATGTTATAATAAAAAAACCAATCTGATAAATCTTAGAATATTCTTATAAAAAAACTCTTGTGGAACTTGTTTCACTTAACGTTGGGATTTTTTATCGGCGAAGAAAAATTAACGGTTTGGTAAAGTGTGTACATAAAAACCAAAAAAAAATCATGTATATATTTAAATATTCTTTGTTGTTGGGTTTTTGTTTTCTTTTGTATTTTTAAAGAACCTTTTTTTTTTTTTTTTGAAGAACTTTGTTTCTTACATACATACCTTAGAGATTTTTACTTGAATATTTACTTGCTGTATAATGTTTTTTCTTGGGGATCCACGTATGATTCCTTGGGGACTGAGTAAGTATTTTTTATGGAGAGTTCGTTTTTGTCCAGTGTCCAGATCACCAGAATTATTTCCAAAATCACTTACGGTTTCACTACAAAATAATTTTTAACCAATATAATTTCTCAAAATCC